CCGCAGCAGCTTCAACAACAACAGCGCGGTCCTCCACTACCACAACAGCAGCAACAAACCCAACAACGTGGGCCTCAAGTGCCTCAACAGCAGCCCCAACAACAACAGCAATGGGGTCCACCTCCACAGCAGCAGCATCGTCAAACACATGGTCCTCTAGTTCCCCAACAGCAGCAATGGGGTCCATCTACACAGCAGCCTCAACAACGTGGTCCTCAAGTACCTCGACAGCAGCTTCCACAACAGCTGCAATGGGGTCCACCTTCACAGCAGCAGCATCCTCTAACACATGGTCCTCAAGTACCTCAACAGCAGCCTCCACAACAGCAGCAACAAATTCCACAACGTGGGCCTCAAGTGCAACAGCAAATTCCACCTGAAAGCCAACAAAAACAGGAGTCAGCTGCTCAATCTACTGAAGATCAATCTAAGAAAAAAAAAGGAAAAAAATATCCTTCGAAAAAGGAGGTTGAAGAAGCCGCAAGAAAAGCCGAAGAAACCACAAGAAAAGCCGAACAAGCTGCAAGAAAAGCTGAACAACCTCCACCATCGGAAGGTCCATCGCGTTCTGCCTCAACTGACGTATCAAAAATAGAAGAAAACCTTGAAACGTTGCAAATATCTCCAACAAGAGCGTTGAGAATGATTGAATCAAGTCCAGACGGAAGAGTTTATGAAGGAAAGCGTGGTAAGCCATGCAAATTGGAAGTCAATTATTTGCAGATTCTCATTGATAAATTGAAGCCTCAAGCTTTCCATTACGACGTTACTTTCGTTCCTGATGTGCCCAAGAAAATGTTGCCAAAAGCTCTCGAAGCTTTCATGAAAACTCATTTTCCGAAAATTTCTTATGCCTTTGATGGACGTAAAAGTTTCTACACAATCAACCAAATGTCAAATGATGTTGAAGATGTCTTTGAACACGATGTTAGAGCCATTTTGGGAGATCGTCAAAAGGACTTCAAAGTCAAAGTAAAGTTTGCAACAAAAATTGAAATGAGTGTCTTAAAGCATTATCGAAAGCCTGAATATCAGTTCAACGACAAGCCAATGCAAGCAGTTCAATGTCTTGATATTATCTTGCGAACAGCTTTCAATTCTTTGATCGATTCAAATAGAGCCACTCAAGCTGGCAGAGCTTTGTACTTTCCCCAGGACCGCCAAATATTTCTAGGCGATGGTTTGGAGTTGTGGCTTGGACTTTTCCAATCGGCAGTTCTTGGACGTGACGCTTTGTATTTGAATGTTGACGTTGCTCACAAAGCTTTTCCTTCTTCAATGTCATTAATTAACTTGATTAAAAGCTTCGACAGAAACAATCAATTGCCAAGAAACTTCGATGATCGTTTAACGAGACAACTCACGGATTATCTGAAAATGTTGAGTGTCGTTTATCGTCCTAATCGGAATCAACCAGGAAAGACTTATGGCTTCAATGGGTTGAAGGAACCTGCTAACAGAGCAACATTCGTTGATGAAAAGGGAGCAAAAATGACAGTCGAACAATATTTCCGAAATAAAAAAGGAATCAAATTACAATTTCCAGATTTCCCCGTGTTATGGGTTGGTTCTCGTGTTCGTAACGTTTACCTTCCTATGGAGCTTTGTGAAATTCCCGCTGGACAAGCAACGAATAAAAAATGCACGCCAAATGCTGTTGCTGCAATGATAAAATATTCAGCAACCTCAACAGACGAACGAAAGAAGAAAATTTTGGGGCTTTTGAATAAAATTGATTATCAGAATCCACAAGGAGAGATTCAAGGATTTGGCTTGAATATTGGTTCCAATTTCAATAAGATTGATGGACGAATCATTGAGCCACCCGAACTTAAGTACCTGAATGAAAAAGTTAAACCTGACAGAGGTGCATGGCGTGGTGGAAATTTCCTTGAAGGTGGAAAACCTGTTAAATGGGCTATAATCAATTGTGATGAACGAACATCAGTTCAAGCAGTGATGGATTTAAAGAAAAACATTTCGATTGAATCTCGAAGAATTGGAATGAATTTGGCTCCTTCAATAGGTGATAACGATTACTTTAAACCCAAAATGTCATCGCGTCGCTTTGATGAAGATCTGAATGTGTTGGTAGAATTGCTTGAACATTGCAAGAAAAGTGGCTACGGAATCGTTTTTGTGATCATTGTTGACTTTAATGATTGTTATGCTAAAGTCAAACAGGCTGCAGAATTAAAAGTTGGAATTCTCACTCAATGTATTAAAGCCAACACGATTTTCAAAATGGGAAGAGGAAATCCTATGATGACAATCAATAACATTTTACTGAAAGTTAATTCGAAATTGAATGGAAAGAGTCACGAAATCATTGAAACTTCGTACCAATCATTCAATCCAGTCAACAGTGGTGTCATGTTTGTTGGAGCTGACGTTACACATCCATCGCCTGATCAAAGCGACATTCCAAGTGTTGTTGGAGTTGCTGCAAGTTATGATCAAGTTGGATTTAAGTATCAATGTGCTTGGCGTTTACAGCAACCAAAGGAAGAAATGATTGTCGATTTGGAGAATATTTTGGTGGAACAAATTCAGTTTTATCTTAAAAAGAATGGTAAATTGCCAGCAAAGCTGATGTATTATCGTGACGGTGTTTCAGAAGGGCAATTTGCTGAGGTAAAAGTTTTAACATTAATTTTAATTGTGCTTCATTATAAAATCTTTTTGATTTAAAGGTTTTGAGAATTGAAATGAAAGCAATTCGTGGTGCAATGAAGAGAGTTTATGGAATGAATCCTCAAGCAAAGGTGACATTTATTGTCGTTCAAAAACGTCACCATACGCGGTTCTTCCCAACTCAACCACAGTTCAGGTAAGATTTAAAAATTAAATATTTTTATATGTCGAAGGATTGATTGAATTTTTATTTAATTAATGATTTAGTGATGGAAAGAACCAAAACATTCCAGCTGGAACTGTTGTCGACAAAAGCATTGTTCATCCATTCCAATACCAATTTTTCCTCGCTTCGCATGCAGCGATTCAAGGCGTGACAAAACCGACCAAATATTGTGTTCTGGTAAACGAATCAAAAATCCCTCCAGATGATCTGCAAGCCATCACATATGGTGAGATTTTAATTAAATTAATTTATATTAAATAAATTATAATTGTTGTTAATTCTTCAGACTTGTGTCATTTGTTCACACGATGTAATCGTTCGGTGTCATATCCAGCACCAACATACTATGCCCATTTAGTCGCTGCACGTGGGAAACAATACACAATTGGACGCAGATTGAATATGAATAATTTGAATCAAGAATTTAAGAATCGCACTCTTCAACCTTTTATTACTGCTGAATGTCCAATGTTTTTCGTTTAACTTTTTTCTTTTTTCAATACAATTTTTTTCGTAATTTGGCTGATTTTCTATAATAAATGCCTGAATATTGTGTTAAAAACAAAATAATAATTCCCATTGGTTGAAACCTTGAAGGATTCATGTTTAAATAAAGATTTATTTTAGCCATCGCAAAAGAAAACCCGCTTTTTGATATTTATTAATGTTTACATCGCAGTTCATATTCACCACAATTTCATTTTCGCTAAAATTTCATTTTCAACTTCACCACACACCGCATGCTTAAAATATATGAAAGAAAATTTAATAAAAATGTTTGATTAAAACGAGCATAATTAAGCTCTCATGAAACAAATAAAACTGTTAGTGTATCGATGTTTAAAAACGAAAGGAATTAATGGTAAGAAATAATTCTCAAAGTTTAAAAAGTTGTCCTGAAACAATGCCGGCAGACAGTGGAAATACTAATGTGAAACCAAAACAACTTCAGATCTTTTTGTCAGCATGAAAAATGTTTTCGCTGAATATAAACAAAGCAATCTTCTCCAAAATTGTCGTCTATGCTTCAATTCAACAGAATGAAAAAAATAAAATAAAATATGAATAAAAAAAAAATTATGATAAACTAATTGCGAAAAATCTCATGTCCGGAAAAAGAATTTGAATTTACACATTTTCACTTCGCACAAAAAATCGGAGAAAATTGTATGAAAAATCAATCTGAACCTTCCTCTGAAAATTTACAGAACCACATCAAGCTTTTGTCAACGACGAATCTTTTTCACCAAATTTAATTTATTTCATCAATAAAAACAGAAAATAAATCATCAATATGCGTATCATTGTTTTTGACATTTCGCATCAATTTCTTGGAAATCTCGTCACCGTCGTTGTCATATAACGATGGTTGGTAGTACTGAAAAAGATCAACTTTCATGTGTAACAAATCATGACCTTGGTCAACGCATCGTATTGGAATAAACAAAAACAACACGTGTGGATGTCTTCTGTCTAAATTTTCGCATCTTCTTGTCATCGTTTCTTCGAAAAGTTTTCACTTTGTTTTGACTTTATAATTTATGTTTTCTTTTTTTTTTTTGCTTGTTGTGATAAGCTCATCGAAATTTCGTCGAAATCAAATTTATGTCAACGATTAAAACTCACCTTTTCAATAATCTTACGCAAATGGAGAAGAAAACATGTCGAGAAATAAAATAAAGGTGTTTTGAGTAACTCAGATTTATTATTGCCATTAAGATCCTTCAATTGATCATCGTCGCATACTTCTTTTATGAAATTTAAATTGGCAAATCCTCGATATTCAAAAGTTAAAAATGGAATTCAGCAGTTCTGAAATTTATCAATTATATGCATTCATACAAATATTGTTGTTGGATTTTGTAAGTGTTGCATGAATGTATAAGAAGGCTTTATTAGAACTCCATGAAGTTCCACGCTGGGGATTCCCCGGGGAGAGGAAAATTAGAAAATTTTCCTATTTACCCATCTCTGTAGTAAAACATTAAAAATGGAACTCATTGGAATCACTGAAGAAGATTTTTCAATGCATCCCATTGCATGTTGTATTCTTCAAGAGTTAAATCATTTAACAAGACTCTTGTTAACATTAAATGGTACAACGAAGAACGTAAACAACTTCACGTGTCGACAAACCTTATTGATGAGATTCAAAAAAGTATCAGCTTTTAATCATATAAATTCAAGTTTACTGTCAAACAAGTCGACATCGACAACAAAAAATATCAATAAAGCGATCAATGACGGCAATGATTCTAAAACCAGATCGAGTTTTTAACATATTCTACGTTGTAAATCTAAAGCGCCATGCGTGTTTGAAAATAAAACTCAACAAAAGCTGGAAAGGCAATGAATAAGTTTGTAGTTATGTGCTTAACATTAAATAATTTTTCTTTTTCTTATTTTTACACTTTTTCACGTACTCGCAATTTCTTCGTTTTTCTTTCTCTTCGACTCTCTTCGTCACCGCGTGCAATCGAAACCGGTTGATTTGTTTCTTATTCTTATTTACACTCCCAAACGATATTTTATGTTTGTCAAGATTTACTAACGACACATACGTAAAGATGGAAATTAATCACTTGTGTTAATAGTTTATACATGCAAATATGATAAAAAAGTACAGTGAAGTCTTCAAATGCTTGAAATCAATAATTTTTCATTAGAATACTTTAGAATGAAAATGTAATCGCCCTCTTGATATCATTTTAATTCATGACTTATTGTGGAAAAGCCGCATTCGCTAATGATTATAGAGTGCAAATTTTAAAAACTCGCCGCACCTGATCAGGTGTTTTTCCGATTCTCTTTCTCTCGACATGATGTCGGGCCACACCAAGATACTTACGTCCCCAAAAGAATCTCACGAGAGTGAGCGAACAGTTGTCGAAGCTTATACTGGCTCAAACTTATTCCACTCGTCATTACTAGTTTAGCTTTCGTGGCAACAAGTATCGAGTCGCGATTTTCAGCCGCAAATAAAAAATAAAAATAAATAAGAAAAATTCATTCGACAGTCAACTTTGTGTTGTTGTTATGTTCACTTTTGTGGCTTTCATGAACTTTTTTTTGGCTTTTAAAGTTTTAATTGAAGAAGAAAAAAATATTATAAGAAATAAACGTAGATAGATATAAAGAAAAGGAAAGTTAAGGTGTTGTGCATGTTGAAGAAAAAAAAATTGCTGAAGAAACATTTTTTCCTACATTTAGATATTTTTTAATGTGAACCAAATTAGACAAAGGAATTTCAATTTATTCGCAAAAGTTACTAGTCGAAAATTAAAATTTAACTGAAGTGAAGAGAAAAATTTTCTGAAATTTATGAAAGTGTCGAAGGCTGTGATGTTGTGTTGAGAGATTAAAGTTAAATGATAATTTTTCCCATGTATTTCAAATCATTTTGAATTTTAAATCGCTTGTGATGTGCTTGGAAAACGTTTGATAAGCAAACAAAGCACAGTCAAAATTAAAGAACTTGAAAATCAACATAAAAAAATTCCGATCAAATGAACGTGCCACTACTGTGAGAACTGAAATACATTCTGCGACGTTTGCTTTCAAGCAATGACGATCTCGTACTCATCCGAGGTTCCAAACGGAAGCAATTTCGGCTGCTTCTGGAAAATATTATGGAAGTAAGTCACATTCACCAATATTTTGTACTGTCGTCAAGTGAACACTTTGCCATCCCGCTTCGTTTTATTTCCGAGAGAAATTCCAAAACGATAATGAAGAAAATAAAATAAATAAAAATGTATGTGCGGATTGGAAAATAAACTTTTCAAATAATCATCCGAGAATTGAATACTAATTAGCAAAATGGTTTCATAGACTGGTTTTCCATGTCGTTGTTCACCTGTGTGTAAGGCAACCCGCGTGCGCTCTCGTTCAGTTCATTGAATGCATTCAGATTTTTTTTTCGCTTTTGTTTTTCTGTTGTTCGGTGATCTTTTTATTATTCAATTTGAAATTGATATCGAAGAGTTTATTACTTAAATCAATTTGACGATTCCTGCTCCGCTTCATACAACAAACAAACAAAAAGTTGAATAGACTTGTCACCAAAGTAGGAATGGTTCTGTGTACATAGCAAATAATCACATCATGTCTTGTCATTGATTAAATGTAAACGTTAAAGTAAATGTTTGTTTCGGTACACAGCGACCGCAACAATTGCAACAGTATATAAAATAAAAAGTAGTTAATCACTAAGTATTTTCAACTTGATATGTAACGATAGATTTAGATGTAATGATGCAATGTGCGAGAGAGGAAATGAGATTGTTACACGAACGACACGATCAAGTTTAGTGAGAACATTTGGTGTGATTACAATCTTGAACTATAATTACAAATAAATGAGATTTAATCACTCAAAATTAATCTTTGATGAATTAAATTTAACAGAAAACCTTCAGAAAATCATAAAATTTATGTCAAGCCTAGCACTTCTGTGTCAGATCGGAATTTGCCGTTAGAAAAGGAAAAAAAATTATTCAACGTCAAGAATAAATCAAAGAAGTAAATGACCGAGTTAAAATACAAATATTTTCTCTGCAAAGATCATTAAATTTATTTATTCAATCTAGAAGATTGTCTGGTTCTGAATAACACGATAACTAATTAACTTTAAAGCTTAAAAGAATTTGCAATTCACTTCAAATAAAAAGTCGCAATTATTTCTCATCATCCTGATCATCTTCATAAGTCTCCATTAATCCCATCAATTCATGCAATAAAAAAAGCGATAATAATCCATTCAAGAATGGCAATCAGTAATCACATTCAAATCAAACTTATCGAAGCTTATAATTTCGCCAATACGACTTTCGTTTTTTTACTTCGGAGGAATTAATCTAAAGGATTTCTTTTAAAAAATGTCTTACAGCACTCAACATTGTAAAAAGTTGGCTAATAAGATGACGACAGAAATAATCAATTGATTCAACTGAAAATGCTGAATTTCTTGGAAAATTATGAATTTTCTTCCAAGAAAATTACTTCAACTTTGCTCTTGTTTGTCGTCGCTTTAACTCTTGAAATTTTTTATTTACAACTTTCTGAATCAATATTTCATGCAACGTTAACAAATTGATGATTGTGCTAAATAAAATATTTAACAACGAAGCGCTTAAAGTGTTTTATTTGTTTTCTTTTTGTCAATTTTTGCGACTGCATATTGACTGTCATTGAAATTCTCTTCAAAGCTAATCTGACATATTCTAAAAAGATTTCACGATCGCTATCAGTTCAACTTTATATTTTTTTCTAACTTAGAAGCAAGTTTCTCAAACTCAACACTATTAACAATGACGAATGGCATTTGAGCTCGTGTTGTTTAATTAAATATTCTCACATTTATATTTTTTCCGATTCGGCTAATTATCCGCAACTGTAACTTTAAGTTGTGCATAGCTCGATTTTGTTTTCTGTTTTCCCATGGTAAAGAAACAAGTCGAACCAGGGACGAATTTTTGCGGGTGTTGAGAATCTGTCATCGTCAACAAATATTTATTAATAAATAATTAAGTTTCAAACAAAAAATGACATCTGAAAGAAAATTTGCAATTTTTATACGAACCGTGAAATGTTTTCAAGCAAGGTCGAAACGTGACCTGAAGAAATTCCTTCGGATTCGATGTGTGGATAGATAAAGAAGAAGATGGAAACCGGTGTTTTAGTCAAGAAAGAATTTTGCATGTTAACATCGTTCGAGTAGCGAGATGGAGAAAAACGAAGCGACAAGCGTAAATGTTAATCTGAAATCTTACTGAAGCTCGCTTATTTCACTTATTAACTATACATCAAATGGGCATTCTTAAGAATTCAAAGCAAATCGAGTTTCTTTTAAATGTGAATTCTAAAGATTGAAAATGTCTTCATGACCTTAAGCATCTTTCACAACAATAAGTAGAGGATCATCATCATTAATATTATTTTGAATAAATAAAACGAAACAAAAAAAAAACTTGAATCGATATGAAGAAGTTTCATTGGAAGTGTGCGCGACAACAGTGCATCATAACCCGAATAATTTCAAGCTTTCAACAACACCAAAACTTGCAAAAAACTAAATAAATATTCGCACATTAAAACATTAACGTTTTGTAATTACAATCGGCAACGAATGACGTCGAATGGAAGTCAACAATAAATTGATTTGACCTAAATCTTTTGACAATAAAAAATCTGAAGAATTCACAAATAGTGAAACGGTTCTTCAGGTTTGATCGATTACATAGTTGAAGTTTTGTCGGCGCCGATCATAACAGAAGTTGAATAAATTAACTCATGAAAGTCTTCTTTGACATAAATTCTCTCTTTTCTCCAAGTTGTTTTTTTGTTGATTTTTTATATTTTATTCAGCAGCTGATATGAAATTGATCGTTCGTTGCTATGCATTCGTTAACTGTTAAGATTCAATGAATAGACTTTCGTGGGTTATCAAGACTTGCATGATAATGATATGTGTACGACAGGCGACACAATATGCAATCAAATGCACATTTGCAACATCGAATCCAATTTCTCAGTGAAGTTTACAACTCACGCTCGTTAATTTATTGAGACTTTTTATGATGCAAAATATCTTGCAAATAAAGTTACGTTTTCCTCAATTTTAATTTTTTGTTGATCACAAATTAATTAAATTTATTTTTCGTACGAATTTCTTATGTAAGTTTTCTTTTAAAATGATCTTCAAGTTATTTAATATTCGATGGTTTTATTAACTTTGTTTACTGTCATTGAGTGTTAGATTCATGCCCATCCAGACCTCTAAGTACTTCATTGAATTAACTCTTTCAAGACATTAACTTAGTCTAGACGTATTTCTAGTTTGTTTGACATTTTTCCTGGTTTCTGTTTTAAATTTATTTAACCTAATTTTCTATCGATGATCATTCCAGTCGTTTTCATTATAATTTAAAGTTTTAATTGAATTTACTTTCAATTGAGATATCATTAAAGAAACTACATAAAGACAAATAAGAGAGTTTAACTCCAATTGACGATCTCAACAAGTCACTTCAATTGCTTAGCTTTCATTTGATTTTGTGATGAAGCTTCAGTAAATTAAGAATTATTTGTCTTTACAGATGGCGAGGTAGCGTCTACAAATTGGTATGGCGAGAGTTGCTAGCATATTTGAGTCTTTATTACACAATCAATTTTGTGTATCGATATGCACTCAACGATGATCAGAAACGGTAAGTTAAAGACGATTAACATAAGAAAACTTTAAATATTGCACATCCTCCAATTGTTTTGTGATTTTACTTTTCTGTTGTTTTGTTTTGTTTGTACACTTAAATAAAGTTACAAAGTTCAATCAAAAAAAATATGAAAAATTTCCTTCAACAACAAGCACAACAAACGCAAATATTTTCAGTGATGATTTCGATTCGATACAATGAAGAAACAAATGTTAATGTTCTTACAAGAAACAATTAGGAGAACGACGAAATAACAATCAATCACTAAAGAATATATTCAGAGTTCTATGTACATGATTAACCATCAACTGAAAATTGTTGTTTAATTGCAGCTATTACCAAAAACTTACAGGTAATGTCTACGATAACTTTTAGGTAAAGCGATCTATTTGTAAATTTGTGAAGGAAATTTAATGAAATTGGCAAGCGATAAAAAATTTTACTTGTTCTTTCTTGTTTATGCTGCACTTGCGTATGTTTAATGTTTTCTGTTCATCTACAGCAACAAATTTACAAAAATCTCTCATGGAATATTCAAGTGCACAAATGATGATTGATAATAAGTCTTTCAAATTCGTGTTATATAATTAACTGACTTCAACTTGAGTGATTATATCATGCACAAGCTAACTAACAACTTTACGCGAAAACTTTCTTCACGGTTCATAAGTTTGTTAAATTTTTTTCTCCATTATTGTTGATGTTATTTTCGTTTCAAATTTAACTTTAAAACTAGTCGATTACTCTTCATCTCTCGCAGTATTCTTCTTCATTCATTATTCTGTTTGGACTAGCAACGAGATAGAAAATTTTTCAAGCTCTGAAAATGTTTGTTGTTGTCTCTTTGACCTCTTCTATCATCTGTTAAGTTCTCCACATGTCAATAATTACAGTCATCAACCAAAAACGTGAGAGAGATGGAGAGAAGCACTGAAAACAATATAAAATTTACTCAGCATACTTGCGGATGCTCCAACTTTATGTAATGTTAACAATTATAAAGCGAAGTCATTCTAAAAGTTTGCTGAATAGAAATGAAGTCATTCATGTGTGAAAAGCACGTGGAGGGCATTCTTAAAGTTCACATATAAAAGCTTTTGCCATGTCATTTGCGCAAGTTTTACTGTTGAAAGCATTTTTGAAGAAATTTCATTAAAATGAATCACGTTTCAATTATATACTTTCCAGAATCCACGCACTTTTATCCATTTGTGAATATGACGTCATTTATTGTTACACCATCACTGAAATTTAAGATTACTGCAATTAAATGTCATACAGAAATTTAAGTGAAACTTCCTTGTTTGTTTCTTGTTTCTAACATTACATTAGCGATCAAATATATTCAAGGTATTAAATGTAAAGCATCTTAAAAAGAATATTTCTGGAGATTTTATTTACACTTCTGATTGTCACCCACGCAAAACTTTTCTTTTTCACACTGAAATTATTTATAAAACAATTTTCACTTTAATTTATTTTATTCTTTGTTAGAGTCTTTGAGAAAGTTCGTCAATATTTTGGAGCTCAAAGTGGATCAATTCCAATGAGCTTTGCACTAGGTTTTTATGTCAATCTTATTGTCAAACGTTGGTGGGAACAATACAGACTTTTACCATGGCCTGACACTTTGGCCTTATTCATCAGTGCAGCAATTCCTGGAAATGTGAGTTTTACTATTTTCCAAAGTTAAAAATTACGAAATTGATGATAAAATTTCATATTTTCCGATGAAACAAAGCAGCAAGAAATCGGGAGACTTATGAGACGAAACATCATGCGCTATATGGTGTTGTCTTATGTGATAACTTTACAGCGAATTTCCTTGCGTGTTAAGCGTCGCTTTCCTGGTCTTCAACATCTGGTCGACTCAGGTTTAATGCTTGAGAGTGAACGGAAAATCTTCGAAATTATGGACGCTAAAAGTCCAATGTCAAAGTAAGTTCTAAGTAAATATTTTATAACTAAATATTTAAGCTTTTGAAATGTTAAATAAATTGTTTTAAAGATATTGGATGCCATTGATATGGGCAACAAATATTATCAATCGAGCAAGGAAAGATGGACTCATTCAATCAGATCACATTGTACAAACAATCCTTGTGGAACTTTCCGATATTCGTCGAAGGTTAGGGGGGTTGATTAGCTATGACACTGTTCCTGTTCCACTTGTTTATACTCAAGTATAATTATCATATTTAAAAGGTTCTTTGAACCATGTAATGTAATTATTTCTCATCAGGTGGTCACACTTGTGCTTTACACTTATTTTATCGCAGCATTAATGGGAAGTCAAATGGTACCACCAGTTTCAACCACAGGTGGATCGAAATACGAAGATCCCGACTTATATTTCCCCTTATTTACAGCACTTCAAGTGAGTTTAATTTCATTTTTATTATTTCATTAAATAAACTTTTCGTAATAATGAAGCTAATGATTGTTTTGTTAGTTTTGTTTCTACGTTGGATGGTTGAAGGTTGCTGAAGTTCTCATTAATCCATTTGGTGAAGACGACGATGATGTTGAGCTGAATTGGTTGATCGATCGTCATATTAAGGTGAGAGATAAACTTAATTATTAATAATTTTATTCAAAAGCAAAAGCAATACTGTAGAGATGAGCCCAGAATACGATGATTAATTGTTTATACAGTGGTTGGAATTGATTCACGTTATCGCTACACCAGACACTTAGCCAGGTGTAAATGATCTCCGCGTTTACATAGACTTTTTAGAATTCGATCAACACAATTAATGTTTGCAGATAAATTATTATTGCTTCACAGATATCTACTATGTACATGTATCTTGCTTTTATTGCTTTGGCAATTATTTCTTGGAATTTTACAATGACGGTGCAAGGTCGTTTCATGTTGAAATGATGTTGCTTGCAATTGTGCATCTTTCTCTGTGTTGTGTATGCAAAAATAAGAAAAATAACGGTAACAATTAAAAAACATTTTTTTATATATTTTCGCAATTACCAATTGATTAGGCGTCATACATGATCGTCGACGAGATGCATGAAGAACATCCGGAATTATTGAAAGATCAATATTGGGAAGAAGTTGTTCCGAAGGATTTGCCATATACAGTGGCATCTGAACATTATCGTCGTACAGAGCCCAAGGGATCGGCGGAAATGTACAAAATAAAAGAAGCTGATGCAGTTTATGCTAACATCATGCCGGGAAATAGAAGATTGAATGATGATGTCTACGCCGATTATGAAAGCGTTGATACACCAATGGTTGAACGTCGTAAGAACTGGTTTAGTCGTCAAATGCACCGAATGGGATCGATGCGAAGTTCATCAACCGCTTATTCATCTGGTGGACTTTTCAATAGAAACCGATTGAATTCGGGTAAGAATTGAGAAGACTTCTTCCTTCTTTCTTTTAATATTCTAAAGTGTAAGTAAATTATAAATAATGATATGTTTTCTTCTCAGCAGTTTACTCAAGTCCCGAGGCTGGCTTAGTCGGATCAAATCAACCGCCATCGAACAATCTTTTAAATAAATTCCGAAAGTCGGGACGCCAACGAACCTTCATGAAGCAAAGTAAGAAGCACATTAATGATCACTTTTCATTTGTTCTTCATTTAACTTTGTAGCTTTCATTCTTGTTGTTGATGTCTTCAGGTTTTCTGTTGTCTAATAAACTTTTCCTTCTCTTTATTTTATTCCTAACTACCTTAATAATTTCTTTCTTAGATTCCAAAGGAAATATGCTGAATGGTCCGATGGTACAAAGAGTTCGTGAAAGAATTCCGACACCCGAGAACGATAATCGTTTTAATTTCAACACCACCAATAATAATCACAGTAACAATAATAATAATAATACTAATAACAATACCAACAACAATAATAATGGCAATCTATTTGGAAATATTCAATCGCTTGGAACAGGCGTGGCATTAACAGCTCAAAATCTCGCGACATCACCTTCAATATTTCCTTCGAATGTTGTGACGACGCTTTTGTTATCACCCATCAAAGAATCTGATTCTGTGAATAATACATTATCGTCAAGTCCACTTGCACAAAGTAAATCTATTCTTCCACTCAATCTCACATCAACAAATGCACAGTTTGGATCGCTTGTGATACCAACAAGTACTAATCAAGATCCTGATGTAAAAGCAACAAATTCTTATGTAGTGACAAGTGATACTGGAATAATTCCTGTTTCAATTACAACAGTGCCTTTTACGATTTCTCCGACAAGCACAAATCATTCAACATCACAATCGATTGGACCCATTATAACTCACTTACCATTGGATCTACCGAGTTCACCAGAAACATTACATTTAGGATATGAAGATGAAGTTCCAGTTCTAAGGCAACCAAAAAGAAGACATTCGGTGGATTCAAATCGTTCTGGAATTTTGGAAAATGTAACTAATGTGTCAGCTTCAACAAACTCAACACTTTCAAAACGTCAAAGTGCTGCGAGTGGTAAAAAACACAGCGAAGTTTATGTCTAATTTTAGCTACAAATTGGAGAAAAACGAGACATCCCGTCCATGACATATTGATATATTTAAGCCTTTTTATCGTGCAAACATTCTATTGCCAATATAAATTGATTTCAATAAAAATCTTAGAATAAATATCATGATGAAATTTTGTCGATATTACTTTTCAAGAAATAAACGAATATTTGTAGAAAATTATTTACATATTTTTGTTTTTCTGAAATTGGAAGTTTACGCAGATATTCGACATTTCTTATACTTTTCTCTCAGTTTTGAAATGCCGGTAAAATATTTGAAAATATGCGCGTTTTTAAATTTAAATTCAATGTTTTCTCCTGAGAAAACATTCAGAACTTATTCAAAGTTTTTTACCCCCCAAGATATCTCAGATATATCCCATTTTAATAAAATCTACCTATATAATTTTATTAGATATTCTATTTTTAGTCTGAATAAAATGCATTTCAATAGCTTACAGTATTTAAGAGAAGTATTAAAATTTGTTTTTAAACTTATTTCTCAAATTTTAGCTTAAGAAATTTTGAATGTCGCTGTTTCATAAGTTTATCGATAGATGGCAAGAAAATCGCTTTGTTTACGTTCTGCAAACAATAAAAAAATTCATGAAAAAAGAGTGAAAATTATTTCTTTGAGCAGAACCATTTTATTAGACAATTTAAACTTAATCAAGTCTTACATTTAATAAGAACGCTTTTACATTTACATTTTTCAACCATCCACCTTGAAGGTTTATAACTTTAATTGAAAACCAAAAACTAAAACAATCTCAGTTTAAGAAAATGTTGACAACAAATAGTAGAAATATTGAAGTTTCAGATATTTCGGTCAGTTTACAAGATATTTTCGCTGAATATAACCAATGCAATCTTCTCCAAAAGTGTCGCCTATGCTTTAATTCGACAGGATATATTCAAACAAAATTGAGTAAAAAGTACAAAATTATAATAAATGACATCCTTCAAGTTCAAGTTAGTATTTCATGTTTCATTACTTTTCTTCCTTAATGAGATATCTTTCTTTTAAAACACAGCTTATGTACTCGTCAAAAGCATCAAATTTTCTATGTCAAAGTTGTGTCCGCAGTGTTGAGAGCTTTCATCGTTTTAAAAGTGAAATCAGAGAAAAACAATCTTACTTTACAAAATTCCAAACTTCAAATTATTCGGAAAAAGTTGATCATAATATTGATCAAAACACTGTGTTGATTAAAACTGAACCCGAAGAAAGTTCTTTACTAACTTTTTACCAACCAACTACTGATTCGCTTATTGAAAGTTGTTTGTTTATTAAAACAGAACCCTCTGAAGAACTATTAGAAGAATTTAAACCAGTAATTCAATACAACAGTAATGAAGATAATATTTCCGGAGACAAAACGTAAGTGAATAAATATGAAATAAAATTTTATTCTTTTTCAAAAATAGTAGCTTTAATAATTTTAAGAAATATATATTTATTTTTAGCCAATCTGTCGATGCATCGAAAATATTTCCCTCCAATGAAAAACATCAGAGAATCATTGAAATATATTTGGAAAATCCTCACCTTTCTACCAGAAAGATTTCAAAACTAATTGGGATTGGACGAACAACTGTTGGCCTTGTGATTCGTAAATATAAATCAATGGTTTCAAATTTTAAAGAAATAGATGAGAATTCTGAAATCACTTCTCAAATGTCTGAAAAACTATCAAAAGGTGATCAATGTTATTCTTCTAAAAGAGAATTAATCCATGATGAAAAGAAATCTAAAGGACAAGTTCCAAAAAAGGCTAAAGTCAAAAACTTTAAATGCGATGACTGTGATAAGACATTTCGCATCGAAAGTCAACTCAAAAGACATTCCCTTGTTCATCTTAACAAACCCAAATCTGATTCTTCTGATGCTATGCCCAAACATGAGAAAATTCACATCATGGAGAATGAGATGAATTCTGCATCTGACAACAAGTAAGAATTTTCGATTTTACTGCTTCTTAGTAACAAATCTAAATAATAAAATCAAATTTTTATTTAATTATTATTCAGAAAAATGGTTGATCCATCGGAAATATTTCCCTCCAATGGAAAATATCAGAGAATCATTGGTACGTGTTTGGAAAATCCTCACCTTTCTGTTAGAATGATTTCAAATCTAATTGGAATTGGACGAACAACTGTTGGCAATGTGCTTCAAAAATATAAATCAATTATACAGAATGATGGAAAATCTGATAAGCATTCTGAATATTTGCCTTGTGAAATTTGTGGAAAGCTTTTAAAAAGAGGATATGTTACAGATATGCATATTAGGAGAGTACATGTTAATATCAAATCCCACAAATGTGACATTTGTTGTCGAAGCTTTTTCGATAAAACGGGCCTCACATATCACTTGAATTCAGTGCACGTACCAAAGGAATTAAAAATCAGAAACTTCAAATGTGACCACTGTGGCAAATCATTTACTGGCAAACAACTCATAAAAAATCATATATTCAGAAATCATGTTGGAGCTGGGTCTTATGAGTGTGATTATTGTGGGAAAGTTTTTAACAAACAGAGACATTTAGAAGATCATCAGATTATGCATAACGAAAGAAATATCCAGTGTGATTACCCAGATTGTGAAAAAATGTTCAAGCAAGAAAAGTCAATGCTTTTACACAAAAAAACTCATTACATTGAGTCGAGATTTAAATGCTCTTATGACAATTGCGACAAGTCTTATTCTAAATCTAATCATCTAGATTTGCACATTTTCACCTCGCACAAGAAAATCAGAGATTATTGTCCAGTTGGAAATGGCTGTACATATTCCGTTGGAAGAAGAGATTACATGAGAACACATTTGAGGAAACATTCTGAACTTTCTGCTGGAGAACTGAATAAATATTTCAAGCAATTATCAACGATGAATCTTTATCAGAATTAGAGATTTTCAAATATTGTAAAATATTTGTTTCATTAATAATAAAAAGAAATTGCAAATAAGATCGGAAAAATTACAAAATATGAGTTTCAAACCATTTGGATGCTTAATTAAACGAAACTATATTTATATAAATAAAATTCTTTAATAATTTTGAAATTAGAGTGAAAAGTAGAATAACCCGCCACTAGATGTCGAAAGCGTCGCTTTGTTTACAAATGAATTTCAAGAAAAAAAAGTAAAGAAATTTCTTCAAAATTCAATTTGAATATAATTTAAAGTAATCTATAAAAATAGATGAAATAAATAATTGCGAGCTCGTTGAGACAGTGAAGTTTGAAGCCAAGGAAACTTTAAAATGTTGGCAGATAGTGAAGACATTGAAGTGAAACCAGATATTATTTCAAAATATTCAGCAGACATTCAAGATATATTCACTAATTTGAAAGATGACAATATTCATGAGAGGTGTCGGTTATGTTTTAATTTATTAGATTCAGAATATAATCAAACGATGTTGACTGAAGAATATAAAAATGTGATAAATGATATTCTACAAATTCAAGTAATTATTTCATGATTGAGTGTTGATTGAGTTAAGGTAAATCTTTCCTTTCATTAACAGCTAACTTCATCACCGAAAGCTTCAAATTTATTATGCCAAAGTTGCATCGTCAGCATTGAAAGCTTTCATGCTTTCAAAAGTGAAATGAGAGAAAAACAATTTTGTTTTACAAAATTTTTATCTTCAAGTAACAATTTCACATCTTCCTCTGTTGAATCAGATTGTAAGATTGACCCTAACGCAATTTTAATCAAAGCTGAACCTGAAGATAGCTCAGAACTCTTTCTTCACCCCAGCGATGAATTTTATTTTGAAACTTTATCTGGAGATGGTTTGGTTGAAAACGAAACCAGAAAGAAAACAAAAATGAAGAGAAAAACCAAAAATGTGGACATAAAAAGAAATCCTGGAAATATTTCTCATGCTAAAAGGTAATTCAAGTTTATTTTAATGAAGGAAAAACTTTACAAGACCTCAATTTAAATCATTAGATTAAAGTTTAACATTTTGTTCATTTTTAAAATTTATTCTTTAATTTTTTGTTAAAATTTCGTTCATTCAGGCAATCAAGTTCCTTCCTCAGAAAATCATCACAACCAAGCCTTAAAGCATATAGAAACGAAACATCTGAAAATGTATCCTGCATAATTTGTGGAAAGCTTTATAATAGTCGATATGAAATAGCTCATCATATCAAAAGAGTTCATGAAAAAATTAAACCACATCAATGTGACACTTGTGGTCGCAGTTTTTATAGTAAAACTTGTATTACTGCTCACGTATTGACACACATCCCAGAGGAGCTAAGAATAAAGAAATATCAATGCGAATTATGTGAAAAATGCTTTTTTAACAAAAGATCCTTAAAAAAACATCAAGAAACACATAACTTAAGGAACGTTCAATGCGATTTTCCGGAATGTTCAAAAATGTTTCAGAGCAAAAGAAGAATGTTAGAGCATAAAAAGAGTCACATGTCTAAGATGGAAAATTCAATGACTCAAGGAAAAACAAATTCAAAGTCTAGCGAAGGCTGGCTAACTTGTGAAATTTGTGGCAAACTTATAAAAGGCGCCGTAAACACAATTCTGCATGTCAAAAGGATTCACAATAAAAGCAAAGACTATCAATGTGACATTTGTGGAAAGAAATTTTTCTCAATAGGATGTCTTCGTAAGCACATGATAGTTCACGTCCCAAAGGAGTTGAAAGTCAACAAATATCAATGCGATTTATGTGAAAAATTATTTTATACGAAAAGCTTATTGAGATGTCACCGAAATGTACACACAGAAAAGAAGATTCAGTGTGATTACCCCGGGTGCGAAAAGATGTTCCATAATAAATCAAAAATGCTTGAGCATAAAGTGAATCATTTGGAAGAATTGAGATTTAAATGTCCTTACGATAATTGTGACAAATCTTACGTCCGGAAAAAGAATTTGAATTTACACATTTTCACTTCGCACAAGAAAATCAGAGAAAAATGTCCGGTTGGAAATGGATGCAAATTTTCGGTCGGAAGAAAAGACTACATGAGAGCACATCTAAAGAAGCATTCTGAACTATCTCCTGAAGAACTAAAAAGTTATTTCAAGCAATTGTCAACGATGAATCTTTACCAGAATTAAATGTTTTAATATTTAATGTACATTATTTATTAATAAACGTGATTTTTTGTTGGAATAAGCGATTGTATATTATGGTAATCTGCAAAGTACTAATGCAAGTTTTTCAGTGTATTAATGGCATGATTGACACCGATTTATAGATATCAAAACCGATAACCGAGAACCGATAACCGGCTGTTTTTTTCGGTTATTCGAGTACTAGGTTAACCGAGATTTCTATCGGTTAACCAAAAAATAACCGAAATTAGCGAAATTTACTCCTATTAAATTTTTTTTTTCACAAATTGTCTCGTTTTTTGATTATTCTTGAATAAAAACGAATTAAAGTTTAGTAATATGCATTCTTTCCATTAAAAATAATTTATTTT